CAGTCCTTGACGACATCATGCTTGCTAAAGTGGACGGCGGGCCACAAGGAAGCCCCTCAATAAGACAGACGGACACAGCGGCTGCAACGATGGGCTCCAGCAGAGCAGTGACTGTGAGGCTGGCGCAGGACGGGGCAGGGTTTCCGTCTGCTGTACGTGGATTCGACTCAAAGGCGCCCAACAGCAAGAATAAGAACAGCCACATACCTGTGCGTGTCATCCTGCCTGGGAACAGGGCTTTCTACGCTATGTTCATCGGCCCACATCACATCAGTGCAGGGTGTGTCTTCAACCCATCGCTTCTGAGACTTAGAGAGGAGCAGAGTAGGCACGGAGACGCAAGCACAGATGGGGAAGACAGACACCACATTCCACGAAGGCCGCCAAGGAACCGAGGGACAGAGGCTGAAGAGCCCAGAGCTGGAAGAGAGCCCGGCCCTAGAGCCAGTGCCCTGCATTCAGACCTGCAGCCTCCTGATCTAAAACAACACATCTCTGTTCTTTCAAACCACCTACTTAGATATTTCTGTCACAGCAGCGCTAGGACACTAAGACAGTCAAAGTGTCACACCAACCTCGAAGTGCTCTTTGAAGAGAGAGTCCGAGGAAAGCGAGGACAGTGAGAAGGTGAGATGACGCAGTCCTGCCGGGGCTCGTGCTCAGGAGACGGGGCAGGTCTCATTCGAGACCACATTTGCTAGTGGCCAGTTCCTCGCATGTGCTTGTTCCAGTGCTAAACATAATGGGACTAAGTTGCAGGCCATCCTGTCCGCAGTCAGTGAACGGAAACTTCACTCGGCTAACTCCCTCTGTGGCCTCCACCCGCGAGGCCCCCATGTTCCCTGCAGGTACAGCCCTCAGGGCCTCTCCAAGTCACCACCCAGCTCCGCACTGCTGCCTGGCGGACATCCCTGCATGAGGACTCCTGACCAGTGAGTCGGGGTGTGGTCTGAAATAAATGTCTGAGCGGCAGCCTCACTGGCCCCAGGTCCTTCCCAGAGTGGGGTGAGCCTCAGAGGAGGGGCTGGTGCAGGGAGGGGAGTGGTGGGCAGGGCCTGGGTTTGCACAGAGGATACAACAAAATCAGCCACACCCATGTGAGGGGAGGGGCGCTGTCACTGGTAAGCCAGGAGGGGAACCTCCCAGGAACCAGGAAGTTACAGAGTTTAACCCTCATCCTAACGGGGAAAAAAAAAAAAAAATGCTATCATGCTGCAGACAGGGAGGCTCTAGAAACATGGACAATGGGGCCAGCACTGCCCCTGGGGGCCCCCTACTGCCCTCCTTAGAATCCACAAGGGCCCTCGGCATGGTGCCTGCTCAGCTGTCCAGCCGGCACCCAGCACGGCCACTTCCCAGGCCTGGATCATGCTCAGCCCGCACAAAGACTCCAGGGTGGACTTCTACCTTAGCCGCTCAAGGTGCTCTGTAGGGGCTGGTCTCCGTGTCTGTGCCCCCACTTACACTAAGGGTGTCTCAAGGACCCAGCTCAAACAGCAATGCCATGCGAGATACCCTCCCCTCACTTACCACCTATCTCATTAGCCAACATTCACGTGACGAAACAGTAAAAAAAACCGACTCCCCAACAACCGTGTGTGTTAACAATGTACGTGTGGCAGTAAGAAAACTGCGGTGTGAGGTTAGAGTGACTCTGGCTGTGATGGTTAAGGCTATGTGTCAGCTTGGCCAGGATGTGGTTCTCGGTTGTTCTGTAGTTATGGAATGACGTAATCTAGCAGCTACAGAATGATGTAATCTGGCAGTTATGCGATGATGGAGCCATCCTCCATTTTCACACATCAGTACCCACATAACGACCTGGTCTTTGGAACCTCACCCTGTTGGTAAGGGACGAGAGGGTGTAGACGCTGCTAACTGGACAGAGACTGGGGCTCAGTTCCCGGAGCCACCAAGCATTGTGTAGATGGGGTGCAGACAATTACCACAAGACACACGCTTTCCTTTAGCGCACGCCACCCGGCCTCACGTGCCACATATAGAGCACTGCTGTAACTATGGATGGCGTCAGATCAGGGCCAACTCTTCAACAGAGCGTAAGCATTTGAAAATATTATTAAAATGCATAAGGCAATTATTAGCCAACTCAATCTTTGGTCTTTCCATCTGCTTGAATCCAGGTTAACAACAGAAGAAGTCTGCTGTTTCCTCCCTGCCAGAGGCCATTACCAGATGCCAAGAAGGGGCATGGCCCTGATGTCAGTCCACTTTCCTGAACTCCCTCTCTCCAGCTTTCTTTACTGAAAACCATAGGCCACTCGGGTTTGCTTCTAGGGGACGTCCTTCAGATACTCCCGACACGTAAATCTGGCACATGGTGGGCATTCAGTCAATATTGGTGGATCAATTATCCAGTGAGTGCAGGAAACAAGGCGGTCACCCTCCCCAAGGAGTCAGGCTGGAAGGGGGGAAGACCAACAACTTTCTGATGATAGCTTTCAAAGACCATGAGGGTTTTGCTGGGTGACCCAAATGGACAAGCACTGAACACTAACTGAAAGGCTGATGGTTCAAATCCACCCAAAGGTGCTGAGGACAGGCCTGGGGACCTGCTTCTGAAAGGCCCAGCCTTGGAAACCCTGGGAGCAGTCCCACCACACACATGTGGGATCGCTGGGAGCAGGGGTTGACATCACGGTAACAGGTTTGGTTTTCCTGGTCATAATCCCATTAGAAGGTAGGACACACACGACTAAGGCTACAGGCTTGCAGCCTGGTAATGGGCGCTCACATGCCAACTCCACCACTTGACACTGTGTGGAACTGAATCCCAAGGTTCTCATCTGCAGACAGAGATCCTGAGACCACTCGCAGGGCTGGTGAGAGGGTGAGACGTGGGGACCAGGCTCAGCCTGGTGCCCGGCCCAGGGCACCCCCGGGAAATGAGGGCTACTGTTAGAGGAGAGCAACTATGCACCCTGGTTCCCAACACGGTCCATCGAAGGGTGGGGCCCGCTCTCTCCAGAAATGTGGGAGCCAGGGGCCATGCCTCTCACTCCCTGGCTTCTTGCTGTTGTTTCCGTCACAGCATGAGACCACTTGCAGGAAGCAGTCACTCCCTCCTGGTCCCCCGCCACATCGCCTGCTCCTCCCTGGGCACTACTGATGTGGAACTGAGGCTGAATCTGACCCAGCAAGGCCAGCCCACTGTGCTTTCTTGGACCTGGGGGGGGAGCTGCCTCCAGCCGCACACCAGGATCCAGGCCAGAGGCCACCACAGCTTTCCAGAAATCCCAGGTCACTAATTCCTGGCTCCAGAGTCACGGGGGCCTGGACTGGAAGTGGGTACTGAGGGCCCTTCTTCCCTCCAGCCAATGGCACACGAGAGGAGCCATAAAGATTTCATAAACCCACTGCTGTTGTCTTGATTCCAACTCACAGCAACCCTACAGGAAGAGTGGAAGTGCCCCATAAGGTTTCCAAGGCCGGGCCTATGCCCATCTCTGCATCAGCAGACTGCCTCATCTTCTGCAGAGCAGGTGCTGGGTTCACACCACCGACCTTTTGGTTAGCAGCTAGCGCTTAACCACCGCGCCACCAGGGCTCCTTGCCCTAAAGATCACAGCCCAGCAAACCCTGTGGGGCGGTCCTCTGCTGTCACACGAGGCTGCTTTGAGACGAAATTCTACTCAAGGACAACCATACCCTGACATGGGTCGCCCGCCTAACTCTCCACACAGAGTCTCTGTTCCTTACGGGCGGGGACCTGAGCATGCACCTGCTTGTCAGACAGCGGGGCTGGTCCCTGGTTCCCCCCCTACTGGCTGGACCCTCAGCATATCAGTCCACTTCCCTGGGATTTGGGGTTTGGCTCCCTCAGTGGGCCTAACGGTGCCTTTCGAGTGAGGTGGGGTAATGTAACAGGGGAGGAGGCCGTGAGCGGCAGAACCTGCCATTCTCACTCCCTCTTCACGGCCTCACTGCTCCTTCAGTCAGTCAGAATCCACTCAGTGCTGACTCTGGGCTGAGCTCCATGGGATACAAGAAAAGGACAAGTGGTGTACCTGGTTTTTACTTCTCTCTGTACAAACAGCAAATGCCTTTGACTTCATGGTGGCAAGGGCTCCCATTCGCTTTCCAGAGTCCTGAGCACTCTATGTTTAGCGTCTTGTTCACAGAAACCTTTATGTACACGTAAAGTGCTTACTCTGTCGCAAACTCTTTGGAGAGGTGGGTCCAAACCAAAAAAACCAAACGCATTGCCACTTAGATAAAGGAGGCTGTGGGAACTGCTGAACAAATCACCACACAAATGGCCCGGGTTCTCTTCAGAGCACTAAGTCCCTCACTCAGTCGGCCACTCAGTCATTCAGTCAGCCAGTCATTCACTCAGTCATTCAATTGATCAGTCACTCACTCAGTCACTCTCTCTCAGTCAGTCAGATAATCATTCAGTTAGTCAGTCACTCAGTCGGTCCCTCACTCAGTCTTTTAGTTGATCAGTCCCTCAGTCAGTCAGTCACTCACTCAGTCATTCATTTACTCATTCAGTCACTCACTCAGTCACTCAGAAGGCTGCTCGCTCACTCTGTGGGCAATCACTACAAGCCAGGCCTGTTGTGGATCTGGTATGGGGCCGGTGATCTCACACACCACTCCTTACAGTGTCAGGCCTCTGAGAACTCTCCTGTATTGTCAGCACGACATCTCTGTACCTGGGAAAGCTGTACGATCGTATCCCAGTGTCCCAGACAATTACACCGTATTCTGCACTATTGGTCTGCAAGATTTCCTGAGCCCAGAACCAAGAGGTGGCCATTAGGACCTGTTACTAATATGAACATCAACACTGGCTGGAAATATCTGCTCCCGAGACCTTTCTGGCTCCAGATCCATTCCTCATTAAGCAAGGCCTCTCCTCCGAGGTGGGGCCCACACCTCCCACTCCGGCACTTCTGAGCTCTCTGTGGTTAACCCTCTGTAGCCACGCCCTCCCCGGGCTCGTGGACCCCCGGCCCAGGGCCCTGCGACAAGGATATGATGGTCCAGCGGATGCCTAGCTTGCTGTTGATCTCCAGGCTGCGGGCTTCCTGCCTCTCCTCCTCCAGCTGCTTGGGGTTTGCAAACTGCCCCTTCTCCCCGGGGGATTCTGGGAGACTCTCGAAGTTGAACTTGTCCACTTGAATGGCCATCCTAAGAGAAGGGAAACACAACAGGGTTCATAAGCGGACAGTGTCTTCTGCTGGTGCCTGGGGGACAGCTCATGCCTGCGTGGGACAGAATGATGAGTCACTGTCACGATTCCTTCACAAGACAGTCATCCCTCCCAGGTGGCACTGACTGCACAGTGGGTTCAACACATAGTCTGGGAACGGAGTCAGCGCAAACCGGCAAGAAGAGCCCGTCCCCCCAGAAGGAAGTGTCAGCTCTGCAGTGGGGCTGCGTGGGGAGGACCCAGTGTGCTTCAGATTGGCCCAGCCCAGGAGTTCAATTCTCCCTTAAAAGATCTGAGAATGTACGCAACCGTGTACCTGTGGGGACCCCAGACTCCACCATCGTTATATGAACCCTCCTGTCTGTCCCACTGCAGCCCATGTACTGGTGGATGAAGACGGACTAACCCCGCCCCCCACCAGGTGGCACAGCTCCTGTCTGCAGGTGTCAGAGGACCTGTCTCCTGTGTCCAGCTCCGGGGTGGAGGCCACCTGGTCTCCCTCAGGTTTCTGCCCAGGCGGCATGTCCTGCCTCCACAGCCGGCCCCCCCGCCTCGCTTGCTGCCCGCCCCCTGCACAGTCAGGCAGCTTCTCCAACACGCCAGGCTCTTCCTGCTTCAGCAGTCGTGCCCCCCACTCCCGGTGCCTGGAGTCCTCCTCCCCGACTCCTGGTGCGGCTGGCTCCTCCTGACCCTTGCGGCCTGGGGCCCAAGCTCAGGGGAGCTTTGCCCTGCGGCCACCTCACCACTGCCCTGCTGCAGCAGCGGCTTGTTTCTGCCACGACATCTGTCACCAACTGTAAGTATTTATGGGTTTTTGGATTTGGTAATTGCCTACCAGTCCTACTGCAATCCAGCTCCCGTGGGCAGAGTCTCTGGGTCTCGTACCAGACTTCCCAGGCCTGGAACAAAGCTTGGCGCCTGTGGCTGCCACTGAGACACGAGCTGAGTAAGTGACAGAGGGGACTCTGCCCGGACAGCGCAGCAGGCTCACCTCGTCCGCAACCCGCATCCACACCCGCCGCCCCCGCCCAGCCCAGCGCCTGCAGAGCCGCCCGGACACAGGCTCACC